TTTTTAAAAATATTGAATCTTAATTAAAAAATTGTATTACTTATACTGTTTCAAAATCTTAATATAAGTTTTATATTTCACATATAATATTTGATATTGCTATTACAGTAAAAAGCTATACCACAAAAATATTGATTGAGTCATACACATTGTTGTCCTCAGTTGTATTAGGATATTTTTTCAAATGTCTCCATTGTAACACTGTCAGTAATGATACTCCAACTCCAACAGGAATAGACCATTTCTGTTGTTTTATAAATGAATACCAAGAACTATCTTTATATTGATTTGTACTTATATTTGAAGCATATGTCCTTGAAAACCTTTGATTTATGAAAATTCTGGGTATCCTTTTTGTATAATAAATATCTATACAACATTTGCAAGAATTTCTTCTAAAATGTGTTAGTAATTTTAGATGTTAAATAATTTTATTAGGTCAATAATAGAGTCACAAACCTCACATCTTGAATTAGTCGATAAATTCTATAGAGAGTCATCTTGAAAGTAAATTTTATTAGTAAAATGTGTTAAAAATTTCCTTGTATCCTTCTGATGTTCTTAGGTTAGCTTGAAATGCACTCACATTCCTATAAAAATACATTTATTAGTGACAAAATTCAGAAACATATGTTTCAATTTTCTAAGATATTTTTATTTTACTCTATTTTATATTTTATTTCTGATGAAATACCTTTACCAAAATTTTTATTTTCAAATTTATTACATTAATTTACAGTTTTATGTATACGTACATTAAAAACACAGTATATAATCGTTATAAATATACTTTAAGATGTCATTACTAATTATAAAAGTTCGAAATAAAGAAAATAAATCAGGGCAAAAGGTTTCATTAACTGTAAACCCATATGTTCTGTGCTGTTTTCATCGTAAGCGCCACCTATGTTGTAATTGAATATTAAAAATGCATTTAGATATTCAAAATTCAATTTACTTGAGTATAAAGTATTTTATTTATTTAATCAAAATCCCAATATAATCATTTATAATCATTACATGAATTATCAATTACAATATAAAGTTACAGTTATCATTGCAAATAAGATTTTTATATTAATTTCACTTCATTTAATTAACGATACTTTATTTTATTTCATTAAATTTAATATCACATTACTGTTTCATAAACAATAATATAACATATTTTAAAAAATTTTTCTTCATAATTTACATACATAATAAATTGCATACAATAGATTAATTTTTTCGTATATAATAAGCTTATTAGAACTGAGAAAACGCGATTAGAGCGAAGTGAACACAACGCGATGACAGAGTGAAACAAAAGACTTAATTGAACGTTGTCCACCACACGGCGACGGAAAAAGTAAAATGTTAGTGGTGCCATCCGACATAAGGAATGATAATCTCTTATCGTTCTAACATTAATAATAAATTACGATGCGTACTCTTTTAAAACATATTGTTTCTTTCCATTATTCTTATCAAATTTTTATATACTATATTGATAAAATATATTTTATAGTGCAATCGCTGTTCAAATGGAAAATACCTTATTAGGTCTGAACATGAACACGTATTTTTTACTTTATTTCATTTTGTTAATTTTTGTATTAAAATGTGTATATATGTACATGATACTTGTTCAAACTTTGAAATTCAATACCTGAAAAATATTTCTTATATTTTTTACGGAAGTATATACAGTAGTTTTTCAGTTTTGTTGTGTAATTTATATTAAAATTTTTACTGTTGATCTTCAGCAGTTGCATGCGTCTGCTGTCGACATGTGTCTACCGAAAATCGTCCCGAAACTACTTTTTTCACGTTCAATGAGACTACCCGTACTACCGGTTGTACACCTTATACAACACATGCTTATTTTTGTTATTCACCGATAATATTTTAGTTATATAACTTTGATTAGATTACCATTAATGAAACATAAGTATCTTAACAAATTGAATTATAAAGTATTTATTTAAAACAAAGACAAAAGACCAAGGTAAAACCGATTTTCTACAACCGTGAGGTACCTGTGCCACCGGTTGTGATCGCCGCAAGAAAAGCGTAATAACAGGTGGCTCCGCGTCGCGGCAGGTGGATCAGTTTCTTTTCTTTTTTTTTTATCTTTCCTGGATGGTATACCTTCCCCCATTGTTTTCAAGCGATGCACACAGTACCTGACAGGGCGTATTGAAGGCATCGTGTTCGAAACTCGATCCGTAATCTTGCGAGCCACGAGTGTCAGCAGGAGAAAAGAGAAATGACGATTCTGAGGAGAAACGTGTCGTGATAGATGCAACTATTGCATCGCTTTTTTTTTACCAGGTAGAGGTTATATGTAAGATATTTTCGGAAGTATACGCATGAAAGCTCGTGGCTGTGGTAAAGTGAAGAGTGAAACAATGCCGCCGTCGTCCCATACGAATTGGACTAAACCCCTTCTGAAGAATGGTCAGACAATGCAGATGCAAGCGAAGAGAACAACTTGTTCAACACAAAATCAGAATTCAAACGGTAGTGGGACGGAACACAGCGGTATTCCACTTGATAGAAGGATCAAAGTTGTTCTAGTAGGTGACGGTGCCGTTGGAAAAACCAGCTTGGTTGTTTCTTATTCTACAAACGGTTTCCCAGGAGAATACGTGCCCACAGCTTTTGACAATTATAATGGTTAGTTGAAAATTTAACTACAGTGATAAGTCTAATTTCAAATAGTGACAAGTTTCATTTAAATAGTAAAAATGGTGAGTCTTTCTTAATAATAATTTTTTTAATGAAATTCAGACTGTTTACTTTATTATACTTATTTCTTTATAATCGATTATGTAAGATATGTACAGAATAAAAGATTGAAAGTCGTTATTGATTTATTGATTATTAATTATTCTCGCGTATATCAATATACAAATTTTATTTATGACATTAGGAATGTCATATTGTAAATATTTTAAATAAATCCGATATAATATTTAACAATTCTTTTACATTATGCAAATAATG